CTTAAGATATGAATGTGTGTAAATATTGCAAAATAATTTCAAAACATGCCAGCAATTACTATCTCGTCGAAGGATTGAGTTACCAAATAATGTAAATAAACTTATTTTTGTTGATACTTTATTTGTATTAAGCCTTTTTAAGTGACTCTTCGGCGATCGTATTTCGCTTTTTCATAGCTTGTTGATGTATTTTTTTGTTTGTTTGTCAAAAGAGAAGATCCAGTCTTACATATGTGCAACAATTTGTTATCGATTTATTTTTCTACTCTCGAAAGTCAAGTAAAAAAATGTTCTACTTAGATATATAGATACATGACTTAACTGATCAGGATGTATATTTTAAAATATAAGCCTTTGGGAATATAATTTTCAAAGACAGGGCTATCGATTCGACTTGGTGATATAAACGTTACATGTGCCATCTGAACATCGCCGTAAAGGAAAGAAAAATTAATTTTAAGATAAGAAGTATTGCATGCTTTTATTTTGATTGTTTAGACTTTCATGGAAAATTCTAGAAAGTATTAATGGTTACTGAGTGCTCAACCTTCCCCCAACCTGGGACAGTGGTGTAACAGCACAACATAAGAACAAACTGGGGGAAGGTTGAGCGCTCACAAACATGTTCTTAATGTGCCTGTCCAAAGTCAGGTAACTGTAATTCAGTGGTTGTCGTTGGCGATGTCTGTCATATTTTCTTTTTTTTTTTAATTATTTTGTTAAAAATTTGGCCGTCAGTTTAATCGTTTGAATTGTTCCACATTTTGTTAGGTCAATACAAGTTATAGCTGACTACACGGAATGGCTTTTGCTCATTGCTGAAGGCCATATGGCGACCTATAACTGCTTACATCGACGTCATTTTAACTCTGGTGAAGAGTTTTCTCACTGGCAATCATAACACAGCTCCTTAATTGTTATATGTAGTATAGACAGCTATTGCAAAATGATCAATCACAAGCTTTCTAGAGTTCAAAACCGAAGGGTTACTGGGGAATAGAAATATGGCCAATCTGGTCTTCTTCCGACCGGCAGTAAAACCCTTGTCAAAGTGAGGTGTTCGTTTAGCTGTGCGGGATGTACAATTACGCAGCCACGTCCGGTCAGAGTGGAGACGTTTAATCTGATGCATCGTGTGAAAATGCATAAAATATCTGGACGTTAAGCAACTGACAAGTAACCAATCATCTAGATGTCAAAATACGCCTTTCAACAATGAACGGTTGGACAATATGAGTATTCTCAAACGGTCTAGTCGAACTGGACCATATAATTATGTATTTGGACCATATGGGTTAATTTTAGACAAACATTTATCAAAATCTTTTATTGAGTTTTACAAATCAATATTATTACAATTGACGAATAAAGTGAAATAGTGAACAGTCAATCAATAGAAATTAAATATTTATTTAATTTTCTATCTGAATCCTATTGTAGCACCTTTAGTACCGTATGGCACCGTATGCGTATTTTGAAAAAGAACGCATACGGTCCAGAACGTACGCGTACGGTCCAACTACTCATATGGTCTGGAACATCTATACAGTTTGTCAAGATCCAAATCATCTCATTGGTTAAAATGGTCTTCAAATTATAATGTTATTTAAGCAGGCCACAATATTACAAATTTCACATAGAAACAGTAATACACATCTATTATAAATAAGAAGTTATAAACCCATAATTATGCATTATGTACATGCATGTTGTTGAGTTAGTTTTGGTCAATTCTTTTTCTATAATTTATAACAGTTTTTACATAATTAACTTTGAACGCAATGCCTAATCCAGAAACTATTTTCGTCTAGGGATTCAATGAAAAAAAAATAACGAATGATAAAGATTACATACCGCACACCCCGTTTTGCTGGAATAGCCTTTATGTGTATGCTCGAGATCAAAAGGTGGAAAGCCAATTACATAAAAAGTTTGAGAGTATCAAAGGCAAAATAGCTAAAATTAAGAAAAAAATGTTCCTTTTATTCTCTTCTACTCTATTTGATTTGTTAGAATTAAGTATTACTTAATTGTATGGTATGTATCTAAATCTAACAGCTGAAAAATAGTAATGTCATTTGATAATGAATTTTATTATAATCTAGTGATGTTTATACAACAAGTAATCGGTTTGTATACACTGGATTCTTTTAAAATCTGTTCAAGAAGATACATGGCAGCAAACCAGTGTGTTCATTTCTCGCTTCCTCCGTCCCGCCTTATCCATAATATTACCAGAGGACTGCCAACAAATTTTACTGTTTGGTCCAACGCCATACTTTTTATTCACATATCCATCCATCATTAGATTAGAGATGGTTTTTCCACTGGTGAGTTTTTCACCAGTCTTCTGCCAGCTGAAAATGATGTTGAAACGGCTTAATTGTCAGTTTTATGAAATTATGTGGTTTCAGTGCCTTATTGAATTGTATATAGTGTATTTACCTGACGATATCGGGATATGGCTATTTAGTCAAATCTTAACAAGAAGTTGTAATAATAAAAAAACCGACACGGATAAAAAAAAATTAACAATGTCAAAATGTTCAGGCTTTAATTAAATCTTTATTTGAGTAAGTAGATGCAAGCATACGATCTGTATTGTGTCTTTTACAGTTAGAGGTAAATGATGTTTAAGACTATACTATATGAATATGTAAACACGTTAATTATGAGCCATGAGATTCAAGTAGTTCGTGCATTTTCTGAGTAAGTTAAAGAAAACAAAATTCAAACAAATATACTTAACTGTGGGTTAGCATTCGTTAACCGTCACTATCCTATAGATTAAGAACTGTTGATTATATTGATAACTGAGAATCTTTATTGAAGCTAGAGCGCGCGAATGGTGTGTTAATTAATTCGTTTGATGTGTCATTTGTATGCAAGAGTGACATCCCTTTGTACAATGTTTCAGTTCCAAAAAGTCTATCGAATCAATACGTTATTGTCTCAATTGAACAGGTTCATAATTTCATCTTTACGTATAGTTATTTGATTTAATTTCTGATCAGTACAAAATTTATAAATTTTAATAGATCTTAGTTTTTATCATTGGTTTATTATAGACATTTATGTATATCTATAATTTTATTTATTTGTTTTAAATCGTTTAAAATTGTTATATACTAATATAAAGAACTTTTCATAATTTTATAAATACTATTTAATTACCTTTTACGTTACATTTTCCGACCGTGCAAGACCCTCATGGGTAGTCAAGGTCGTTAATCAAAAGCTCAAACACATCAAACGAATGGAAAACAACTGTCATATTCCTGACTTGTTACAGGCATTCCCTTACATGTATGTAGAAAATGGTATATTAATATGTCAGAATTCAAATGAAGCAGACATATTGCCTTAATCTATCTGAATTACATTATTCCCTAAAGACAAATACATGTATGCTGTGTAACCCCCCCCCCCCCCCCCCCCCCCCCTTGTGTAAAGTTTGTGAAAAGGCCGTGAAGAGGTGCCACCTGAAAACTTGGGTGAAAAGACCGTAGAAACCCTGTGAAAAAAAAAATGTACAACGTGAAAAAGTCGTGATAATGCATTATGTGCCCATTGTGAAAAGACCGTGAAATGTAGATATAGTACAGTATATGCCTTTATTTGTCGTGAAAAGGCCGTGAAAAGGTGCCAACTGAAAACTTGGGTAAAGAGACCGTAGAAACCCTGTGAAAAACAAAAATGTACACCGTGAAAAAGTCGTGATAAATTATGTGCCCATTGTGAAAAGACCATGAAATGTACATGTACTACTGTGATAAACAGTCATTCACTGATTGTGGAAACTCCTGTAAAATGTTAAATGTATTTTTCAGGCAATAATTTAACAAAAAATTTAAATGCTGTTTCAATCAAGTGAAGTGAAATGCCTGAAAACCTAGTGTAAACATCTACAGACAACTTATTTAAGTACAATGCAAGTGAGACTATGAAAAACCATATTAAAATGCTGTATTTTTTTTCGTAATAATTGTGACAAAGAATAAAAATATTAATTTTAATAGAACTGTAGTAATTATGTAAAGAAACATAAAACACACAAATGTCAATGTGATTAAGTAGCTAAAGTCAGCTGTAACATGTATTGTAGATATTTTGTACATCTCTTGGGTCTGATTTTACCACTTCAGCAATATTTGTCTAATGTAATCCTTCACTTCACTGCCCTTTTGAATAACTATTCCAGAAAAACATTTATAGAAGTTCCTGTTAATTCCCAGGAAATACTTTTAACTGAAAAGCTCTTCTTTCCAACTGGATTCCTGAACTATTTTATATAAAGACTGCTATATCCTTTTGCTCTTCATTCCTAGAATAAATAAAGAAACATTACATATATTATACATGTATATAAAAAAACTATTTATATATTCAAATTAATTTTTGGCATTTATGTACATACATGTACTTAAAACAGCTACAATATTATTCCATGCAATACAGGACTTCACGGTTAATGACCCCATATTGAATAGGGGGCAGATTTTCATACTGGAGGTGAAAATGGTATGAAAAATACTAAAAAACATCATTGAAACAAAACAGCCACTTGGAAACATGCATAGGTTTTCCCATATTTTCATACCATTTTCCAGAAAATCTGCCCCTATCCAATATGGCATCATTAGTTAACGAAGTTCTGTATTGTCAACTTATATTATTTTTTTAGATTTTTTGGAAGACTAAAGACACTTTTAAGACAGACTGTTAAATTTAAATGTTTCTTTGAAGTAATAATATGTATGGCTAAAGCCAAACTTGTCCGGACTAAGTGGCCGTAATGAGTCACAGCTATTTATTTTACAGGGGGCCAGGGGCGTAGCAACTTTTACTGCAGGCACATTCGCCATACCAATTATTTTTTAAACACCTCATTGCCATACCAATTATTCTTATGATATGGCACAAACTCTTCTAGAAAGGACATTTTGCCGTACAAATATTAAATACTTTCCCTGCTACGCCTCTGATTAACCCCTTTTGAACTCTGTGTCCCGACGGCCAAGTCAGAAAATACTTAAATAGCTCCCGACACATTCAAAGGGGGTTACGCCTCTGATTATCAGAGTGAACTCCATTTCAGAGATACTTATTGCTATTATAATCATTTCCAATTATCTATGTCGGTAACAAGACATTTCGGCACCCAGACAAATCGGCACCCACGTCCGAAGACATTTCGGCATCTATTTTGGACAGTTCGGGATCCAGACATTTCGGGACCAAGACAATTCGGCACCTCATTTATTTAAATATATATATTAGGAAAAATAAAAGCATTGTTACAGTAATATTATAATCCATAGATAAAATAAGCAATACAAAATTTAAAATCATCATTTAATTAAATCCTAAATGATTGTGTATGAAAAGTAAAACATCATTTAATTAAATCATAATTGATTGTTAGATATGACGGTGTTTGAATAAACATTTAATTAAATCATGATTAATTGTAGTTATGCATTAATTAGTATTTTATGTATAAATCTGATAATTTCTCAAATGAGAGATTTAAAGTGTATAGCTTGTGTTTCAGCTTGTGTTCTCGTTTGATCCTTACATCTGTAAAGACAACACAATACCTGAAAACTATATTTTATTGTTTTGATATTAAAAGCAATAAACATAAAAGCGTGTGCAAGCCATAATGAGTAAAAACCCAGAAACATATATAAAGGTGCCGATTTGTCTGGGTGCCGAAGTGTCTTTCTCAGGTGCCATTTGTCGGATGCCGAATTGTCTGGGTACCGAACTGTCTAGAATTCATCTATGTCTATGTCTACGTAGTGTACTGTACATAAATGTCATTTTTTTATGTGGCCAGTGTGGGGAAAAAGGACCCCCCCTTTTTTCCCCAAATAGATAAACAAAACAAAACCGTAATCGTATTTAAAGGATCTGGTAAGTCTTAGAAAACATTAACCGAAATGATTAAAGGAATCAAGTGCAACAGACTCAAATATAAGTGAATATATCACATGCATGTTTGCGCGGTTTCTGCAAATTCAGTTCAATGGAAATGCTCACAAACGTCATCAACATTTTGGTGATATGATGCATAAACAAATAAAATATTAATAACTTAACTTACCTCAAACTTGCTGTCACTCGTCTTGCATCTATAAAGTAAATATTAATCGACCTTCGGCGTCTTTCAAATTTCCAACCTTGCGGAAATGTTACAACTACTCTAAAAGAAACACGAATCCGGATACGGTCTGATATTCCGGGAAGTTCTCGTTTTTACATGTTTCGATTCCAATTAGAATTAATGTTTACATTGTTTATAATAATGTACAGACGAGAAGCAAAATACTTTTCTTTAAATACAAAATATTTATTGGCACAAAGTCATTATAATTAATTATAACAATGAATGGTTCCATTTAAAAGTCAGTCCTGTACAGTAGTATTGCATATAATAATATTTAAACAGACATATATTTATAATGAAAAGTTTATAGGATATTTAGAAAAATGTTAATGGAAATAATTAGACCATATTACAATAATCACATGGGATGTTTTAAATCTGAATTTGGATAAGAAAAAATTGACATGAAAAAATATCACGGCCTTTTCACTGGTTTCAACAACCAGTGAAAAGGCCGTGATATTTTTTATTAAGCATGAAAGGACAAATTATCACGGCCTTTTCACGGGATATTGAAATTTCACAGTCTTTTTCTAACATCAAATATTTTTCACGGCCTTTAGAAATATTTTTTTTACAAAAGTCACAGGGTATTTTCACGGGGTTTTCACGGCACTGTGATATTTCACGGCTTTTTCATGCACTGTTGTTACAGTAGTGAAGCCCAAACATATACTAGCGGAATAAAGGAACTGTATTTAGCAATATAAGACAAATATTTCAGACACTAACTTTGTATATTTGCAATTTAGATAACTAAACAAAGTGCATGTTTTCAGAATGTTAAAAGGTGAGTGATTCTTCTTTTCAAAACCTCAGCATGACCCAAGAGCTCACGCTAGAGACAGAAGAGTGACGTTAGGTAACATTGTTGCGTAATATTATTGTTGGAATATCTATGGAGCATCTGGCATTATTTCTGATAGTTGCTTTGAATTATGGAACATATTGTTTTTAAATATAAGCGATATCATATTTGGTGGACTTGCTACCAAAATAGCCTTTTCTACTTCTACTGGACTTTCGATGACTCAATTATGTCACGTCAATAGAGTACGCTAGTAAAATGAATAGATATCCGATACACGTCCCCACAAAGAAAAAATATGGTTGGTTATGTCTGCATTGTCTGTTCCAAAGGTTCTGTGCAACGATAGATATAAGATCTCTTTGAGCAATGAGACGCTTGTTTTCATTTGTTCGTGGCTGCGCAAAATTATGTCTTCTACTAAATCAAAAATGTTTTCCCCGTTAATTACAGATTAAACCAACGTTTTATAACTTGTTCCACAAACCACTGATACCACAATTTCGTATGCATCCAAATTCGACAAAACGCTTCTTAGCACCTAAATCGCTCGACTGGAATTTTTTAGTAGATCTTGCATTAATATTTATTTTGCTATTTAATGTATATGAATGCATGTTTAAACATGCAATTAAAAGTTTCTCTCCATCTATCATTGCATCTGGAAGAAAAATCTTTATGAAAAAAAAAAAAAATGGAAAAAATCATCTTGCCAGCAACTCCTATAAGTGATTAATTAAAGTATTTGTAGGTCTGACTTTGCTGAACATTTTTAATGTTTGAAGTTTCTCAATATATATCCTATTTTCTGCAAACAAAATAGAAAAAAGGGAAAAAAATGTCTTTCAAGGGTAATAACTCCTTTGCAATTTCAGTCATATCGACTAATTTGTAGGTCTAACTTTGCTGACCATTTTTCCATTCATAGTTTCTGTGTCTCTATCAATGTGTCTGGAAAAAAACTTAAAATTTGATAGAAATATTAATTCAAGGACAGTAACTCCTATAAGGGAACACGAGACAAATTTAGTCATGTTGACCTTACTTTGCTGTACATTGTTGCTAAATTTCTCTTTATCTATAATAGTTTTCATGATAACAACCAAAACTGAGTAATTTTATACACATTTCAGGGCCAATACTTCAAAATGGGTTTTACGATTTGTCTGAAAATTTCTCAGCAAATAGATGTTGACCTGCTTTACATTTTTACCATGTAAGATTTGCCCACCTGATTTAGTTTTTGAGATATAAGCCAAAAACTACATTTTACCCCATGTTCTTTTTTTAGCCATAGCTGCTATGCTTGTTGACTAACCAAAATAAAAAATTAGAAACTTTATAATGAAACCACAAGGATCATTCACCACATGTTTGATTGAAATTGGATCAGCATATTCAGAGAAGAAGATCTTTGAAAGAGTTTACGACGACGACGACGACGACGGACCCCAGATGATGACAATAGATCAGGTGAGCTAAACAATAAGCATGTGCTGAAGAATACTGAAAAAATCCTCAGTTCGTAGCTGTATTAAGTACATCGTATTATAATTCAAAATTTCTAAATTTTATGAATTTTAAGATGCACAGTTTCTTTTTTTTTTCGCTTCCAAAGAACGGACCAATGTAGACAAATGATAATAATAATTTAATGCCTTACTTATTTGACATATGTTTGGCGTCAACAACGACGGTACTTGATATAATCCCATAACCAGGACCTTTGTGAATAAGATACCGTCCCCCGTCTTTAATGGTAGCTACAACTCCAGTATGCTTAAATCCAAGTTTTCCAAGAACACCATTTAGAGGTCTGAAAATAAAGATTTTATGAAAGGATTACGCGAACTGCTACCTAATCAATTCTGGTGATGTCATTCATAGGAATTGATTTCATTAGCCGGTAAGTTTGATTTGAAGGCAAATCTAGTGTCCGTTTGTCGAATGAAAAAACAGCTTAATGGAAAATAAAAAATCGTAATAACTCAAACAAATTAGGGCTAATATCCCTTTTATTTCACACCAAAGCCATAAGGCTTATTTTTTTTTAAGGTAGACAAAGTTATACATTCCTTAAGAGAACGTAAAATTGAAATTTTGATAAAAAAGAAGGTATGAAAAGACCAATTTTTTGCCGCTTGAATTCGAAGACCTTAATTTTACAGTATCTATCAAATTATATTCTTCAAGACATTAGATGATATCAATATTTATATTTTTAAATTGTGTCTTACATATTGCTTTAGAGCTTTAAACTTCTTGCTTTGAATGCAAAGTAGCAAAACCTGTAGTCTTTCTTTCTCTAAAGAATGATATTTATTGATTTCTCTTTGAAAAAGATAATCCGTTGACCAACATAAATTATATCATTTAAACGGGCATTTTAAGATATGTGCAAAAGTGTAAAAAAAGTCAAAGTATACGTTATTTTGTATGTACGAAGAAATGCATCTGATCATTGAAGATTTTACATGTAGCTTTATTTCAGAGATAATATTTTAATGTATGGTGTTTATATAAACAGAAAAGAATATATTATACCTTGAATAACTCTCAACCTTCGTTACTTCACTGTTGTACAGATTGGTAAGTTGAGCCTTGTTCATATCATGGGGCAGCTACAATAAATATATCACCAGTAAAAGAAATTAGTAAAGAAAAAAATAAAACAATACTCTGCATTTTTACTTGGAAGAATTTTAGGAAGAACCTGACTAAATGACATGTTGTCAATTTTAAAGGCATACATAAAATGATCTTGTTAAGAACTAGTATCTTCAGGTCCAATGTTGCAGAGGGGCGTTAAGAGGGGGTGTCATCCCGAATTTCCGAAAAAAATAAAGCATTCTTTCCCGGATCCCGAAACAAAATTAGGGACCAATACCGAATTGCTGGAAAAAAAGGCTCAAACCCGACGTCCCGAAAAAGGTCCTCCCACCGCGGTACTTCCTCTCTTTGTCAATAGTAAAACACCAAAATATGAAGTGGTAACGATAGGTATCAGAACTTTAAGTGTCGCATATAACGTATGGATGTCTATTCTGGTGAACTTATCATGTTAGGTTGCCGACCTTTTGACTTTTACCAAACATGTCTCTTCTTGTTTCTATCCGTCCAATTGAATTAGTATACTAACCAGATATTGTTAAAAGGATAGGGACAATTACACATGCATCAGTAAATGTCCGGAATTTGGAACTCCCCGTTCTTTAGATTACTTTGAAATGGCGTACAACCAGTAAAATTAAGACTGGATCCCTCCATAACCAAAATAATGACTCCTCTCCCTTTGCAAAAATTTCTGAAAATGCTTATGCTATTTTTCTCTCCACTTTATACAATTCATAGAACTGGTATATCAAGACCGTTGTATAAAATGACTGAACTTAATTTATCATTATATAAAGGAGAACGACAAGATTTTTTTTAAAAGAAGATAAAACGGGATCTTGCTTAAAAGTGATCTATATCTTTAGACCTTAACAAACAACTGTTAATGTTGTTTTAGTTAAATGCAAAGGCAGTTTTGAAAATATGAAAGACCTACGCTATGGAATTTTTGGGAGCAGCAATGGCAACTCAGTCCACTTCAGAATGTCCTGTAATTCCTGTAGATGTACTGTGTCCACAAACAAAATAACAAAATGATTACTGTTTTAATTTGTTATCGGTTTGAAAATAAATGAAATATTTGACACTGAACGGATGAAAATCTCTCTCATTAATTCTTCAGTCATCAGATCTTGGAATTCTTCGAGTAAATATTATTACAACTGTTATTTCGTTACTGAAGATTTCAGAACTTATTTATTACACATAGCTACTAACACTCTTCAACATTTCAATGGATTGGGTTATAAATATTGATTTCAAGCGCAACTGGAAATAGAAAAAAAATCCAAATTCATGCATGACGCGTAAAATAAACCTTGACATTATGTTATTTTATTCTACGTACCGTTTTTGTTTTTGTTTTTGTACTTCCTCTTCTTTTTCTCAATGGCCAAAATGATCTGGAGGAGCCTGACTTTGATCCAGAGCTAGAACTCTAAAATAAAATATTGTGAATTCACAATATCAAATTAAAATCTTATTGTTGACGAGATATAATTTAAATTACCTCTTTTTAATTGAATAATCAAGTCCTATTCGCCAAAATACGAAGAATCGCATTTGAAAATAATAAATGGACAATAAAAATCATGTCTTGCCCTATGAAATTACCAAATTTATAAATAATTTGTATCTATGAGTTATCTTACCTTAAAAACACACTGAATGTGA